AAAAAAAAAAAAAAAAAGACTGTTCCAAGTGTGGGAAATTGTTTTTAAAAATCCACATATACATAATCCCACAGATGTATAAGAACATTTGAAAGCGTAGAGACTGGTCGAAACACTATGTTGTGCACCTGAAACTGATTTCAATAAAAAAAAAACTAATAAACATGAAAAAAAAAAAAAAAAGAAGACTGTTCCTTAATTTTAAGAGACTGCTCATGCTGGCTCTCTAATTTTGCAAACAAACCTTCTGTATTCAGAGTTATAGGAGACCCTCTTCTGATAGAGGACTTTGGTTTGAAAAAGATAAAACTGCTCATTGGTGATTATGCCAGCTTTTCTAAGTGGTTTCCGGAAACAAGGAGGCTTAGGTGAGGAGGGGATGAGACTGCGGAAGGAATGGTGTGTGACCCTTGTTTCTTTGGACTGGTCTGAACCCCTATTAGAATCCTACCTTAGAAGGACTCCTTGGTTTTAAGCTACAGAAAATCTCTGGATTTAGGTAATGCAGAAAGACCATTTGTTATACAAGGGAGTCTCATACAACCTGTCAAGGGTTGGATTGTGTCCTCCAGAAAGATATGTGGAAGTCCTAACCCTCAGCACCTGTGACTGTGACCTTATCTGGAAACAGAACGGTTGCAGATGTCATTAGTTAAGACGAGGTCAGAGTCGAGTCCGGTGGGTCTTTAATCCAGTCTGACCGCGGTCCACATGAGGAGAGACGCAGACACACAGGGGAGAAAGCCAGTGGCCGCCCGGGTAGCCTGCCGAGGATTGCCCGCAAACCACCGGAAGCCAGGAAGAGGCCAGGACGGGAGGCAGGGGGGTGTCTTCCCTCCAGGCTTCGGAGGGAGCCCGGCCCGGCTGGCCCGGCTGGCCCGGCTGGCCCGGCCGGCCCTGCCCACACCTTGGTTTCAGGCTGCAGCCTCCAGAACTGAGACAATCCACTTCTGTGGTTCCGCTGCTCCTCGGCCGCCCTAGGAAACCAACAGGCAGCCCGAGGCTGGGAAGTGGCTGCAGCCCGGAGAAGGCCGGAAAGGGCAGCTGCAGCCCTGAGGGTCTCTTCCCCTCCGCGCCATGTGCCCCATCCCTCTCCATCACTGTCGACCATCATGCACCGCGGTCCCTTCCGGCGCTCTCCTGCGCTCCGGGATGCAGGCCTGGGGCAGCCCCGCCCCCTCCACGACCAAGCGCTGTTATGATTGGCTTAGGCCTAGTAGGGCACGCCCACTCTCTTTTGCCGGTGATTGGCTTAGGGGTAGACATGTGACTCGGTTCTGACCAATGATACTCGAGGGTCTGGAAGCCTGCCGGGGCTTGTATGAAAGATTCTCCTCCCGGGGGAAGAAAGAAAGACGTGTAAGGACGGGGAGCTCTGTGTGTTGACTTGCTGCTTTGGATGAGGACGCGGTGTTTGGAGTAGTGGCAGCTGGCTCCTGACGATGGAGGGAAAGCCAAGAGTAAGGAGTGTATTTAGCTGCTGGGGCAGAGTGAACCTGCTGTGACCCCCCTGGGCGAAGGCAGACAGCTGGGTGTTCAGTGCATCCAATTCTAGCTAAACGCCGTGCGCTGAGTCAAGTGCGCTGCTCATCCTACGTCTCATCTGGAGTGAAAACAGACGCTGCTTTTAGAGTTAACTTGTAGGTTTGAGGAAGAGAAGGACAAGAATCTGGAGAAAATGCACGCATCACTGGCTAGAAAGGAAGACAAGTAAATGCTTCCAGCAGTAGCCCCCGAATTATTAGGATTTGAAGTGTCAGAACGAGTCCTAAACTGGTCAGGTTTTATAAGTGGAACAGTCGTACTGCGTTTTATTTTTATTTATTTTTTTTTTAAAGATTTTATTGACTTATTTGACACAGAGAGAGAGACAGGGAGAGAGGGAAGACAAGCAGGGGGAGCGGGAGAAGCAGGCTCCCGGCTGAGCAGGACCCTGGGATCATGACCTGAGCCAAAGGCAGACACTTAACGACTGTGCCACCTAGGCGCCCCTCTTACTGCGTTTTATTCACATGGTGCATGATTACTTCACGGGGGTGGATGGGAACGGTCTATTGCCATTTGATAGAATGGCTTCAGAATGAGAAAAGAAAACCATTCAATAAGTCAGGATCAGCAGTGCACACCCTCCTGACTATCCGTTTTCCACAGGTTGATTTGCACCGCCTGAGAAGAAGGGGCAAAATACCCATCTGTTCCATATACATAGGCCCGGCCACTACTGCCTAAAATTAGGTAATTCAGAAGTTAATGCATGAACTCTCTAGTTTCATACCTTGACCCTGCTACTAGGAATGGAGTAATTCTGTCCCAGAAGGTCAGACGGAACAGAATGTGTACATAAACTAGACTACCTTTGACATCTGTAAGAAATTGTAGAGATGGCAATTGCAAAAAAATAAAAAAAGATTGTCCCTCTGTCAGCAAAACTTCCGTCTAGCTATGCTCTGCTGGAGTCTGCACTGGGTTCTGTCGAGCCAGCAGTGGGGCAGGACTGAGTGGGAAGTTACCTGTCTGCAGTCCACGCTCTGCCATGTGATCACTCCCATTGATCCTGAGACCTTTACCACCTCACTGGCCACCAATCAGAGCCAGTCCTGAGATGCTAGCAGGTCTATACTTCTCAACAGAAGGGACTGGGATTAACCCCTTCCTGCCTTTGCTGTCCTCATTCCACCACTGTTCTTCAGGATTTTTTCTGGATTCTCAGGATGTCTCTTGTCTTTTCTTTCTTTCTTTTTTTTTTAAAGATTTTATTTATTTGACAGAGAGCGACACAGCGAGAGAGGGAACATAAGCAGGGGGAGCAGGGAGCCCGATGCAGGGCTCCATCCCAGGACCCTGAGATCCTGACCCCAGCCGAAGGCAGACGCTTAACGACTTAGCCAACCAGGTGCCCCTCTCAGGATGTCTCTTTTCTTAAAGGTAAGATCTTCTCCATCACATTCATTAAAGTCAAAGAAGGATTGGGTTACACGCCCTCTGGCTCTTCGTGCTTGAGAATCACCCCATTTCCTTGCCTGGTCCCTGGAAGCTGCTCGTACTAACGGTGTCATGTCCAAATGGTGCATTTTGTAGAACTGTGGTAAGGTAGGCAATGAATCAAACTCCTGATCTTCTCTGTTTGGAATCTGAGGGGACTCAACCCATCTCTTCTCCTCCTCTACGACTCCACCATGGCCGTCTCCACACCAGCATGCTGAGACATGGTTCACACGGGCAGCCCCACCAGCCGCAGCAGCCCCGCAGGGGACCAGCTCAGGTCTCAGCCTCACTGTTGTGCTCATACCCAGAATGGCAGGAGCAGCTGTGGGTGCTCTCTGCTGGAAATCTGTCTAATAATTTTGAGTTTCTAGTAATTTTTGAGTTTCCTTCTTCTTATTCATATTTTAAAGATTATTTATAAATTTATTTGAGAGAGGGGGAGGAGGGGCAGAGGGAGATGGAGAGAGAGAATCCCAAGCACCCGATGGAAGGGCTCAATCCCATGACCCTGAGATCATGACCTGAGCCAAAATCAAGAGTCACACACTCAACCGACTGAGCCACCCAGGCGCCCCCGGGATGAAACTTTCTTTTTTTTTTTTTTTTAAAGATTTTATTTATTCATTTATTT